TAACGTTTCTTTAAATCATTGTTTGAAGAATTAGTCCTTCTTCTGTAGAACTTATTAGGATGTCATCAACATACACTATTAAATTAATTCTTTTATCACAAACCACTTTTGTAAAAAGACACGGATCTGCTTGCTTTGACTGAACCCCAGATTCTTCAGTGTATTTTCAATTTCTGCATTCCAGGACCTAGCTGCTTGTTTGAGACCATAAATCGACTTCTGTAATTTACAAACTTATGTCTTTCTTCCGGAACCACGAATCCTTCTGGTTGTTCCATATATATTTCTTCATTTAAGTTGCCGTACAAAAAGCTGTTTTAACATCTAGTTGATGTACCTTGGCATTATTATACGCTGCCCATGCTAAGAAAACTCTTATCGTAGTGTGTTTCACTACTGGTGAAAAAGTTTCATCATAATCACTGCCGTATTTTTGAGTAAATCCTTTGGCTACTAAGCGTGCTTTGTATTTTATATTTTACCAGTTTCATCATATTTGTGTCTTAAACACCCATTTGCTGCCTACTGCATGTTTTCCTGGTGGTAATTCTGTAAGTTTATAGGTTTCATTTTCTTTTAGAGAATGTATTTCTTCTTGCATAGCCTCGATCCAAGCTTCTTGTTCACGTTTTGGTAAGTTTAGAATTTCTTCAAAGCTTTCTGGATCTTTAATTTTAAGTAAGATTGATTCTTCGTCTTCTGCTTTATAAGAGAATCTTTCCGGTGGAACCCCTTTGGTTGATCTGCTAGAAACCCTTCTTTCTACATTTTCTTCACATTTAATTAACTCTTCGGAACTTTTTGAATCTTCTGTAAAATCATCGCCAAGAGATGTTTCTTCATTATTTTCTTCATCATCTTGCGAGTTATTGAAGTGAATTAATTCTAAATCTTCAGCATTATTTTCTGCAAGTTTGTCAGGTAAAGACGAGTTTTCTGAAAATTTAACAGTTCTACTTACTATTATTTTTCTTCCACCTACATAAATCCTGTATCCCTTACTTCGTAAATCGTATCCTACGAATATTCCTTCTTCAGCTATGTTGTCGAATTTACGCCGTTTTTGTTTGTTCACATAATAAACTGCTGTACAGCCAAATACTCGTAAGTGACTTAAGTTTGGTTTTCTACCATTCCACAATTCATATGGTGTTCTATCTGTGGCTTTAGTTGGTAACCTATTTTGAAGATATGCAGCAGTAGCTGCTGCTTCAGGCCCAGAATCCTTTCGGTAATTTAGAGTTTATTAGCATAGCTTTTGTCATTTCTATTAAAGAGCGATTTTTCCTTTCTGCGACGCCGTTCTGTGCCGGACAATCGAAGTTTGAAAATAATAAGGAATATGTTAGTTTGATGAAATAATAAGGAATCGAAGTTTGATGAAAATGCCGAGTTTCTTTAAATAATTTTCAGTAGTTTTCGTTACAGTATTCTGTACCGTTGTCGGATCTGAGAACCTTTATTTTCTTTCTAAATTTATTTGTTGTCGATGCAACATACTGTTTAAGTTTGTCGAATACTTCATCTTTTGAAGTAATAAAATAAATTTGAGTATAACGCGAATAGTCATCAATGAAAGTTACGAAATATCTTTTCCCTCCTAAGCTGTTGACTTCAATTGGCCCACACACATCTGTGTGCACTAAATTCCAGTGGATTTTTAGATCTAAAACTAGTTTTGGGATAAGATGTTTTCAGTTAGTTTCGCTTTTACACAAGTAGAACATTCCACACTATGAGTGCATTTGCCAAGTTTAATGCCGTCTGCCAAATCATTTTTCTCAAGTGTTTTTATGGCATCTATATTTCTGTGGCCTAATCTTTGATGCCATTTTAGCATACAGTTCGTATTTGAACATGAAACATTATTAGCTAAGTATGCTTTCTCATCAATTGGGTTTACGGTCAATTTATATAAACCTTGCTGAGCGTTGCCGTCGGCTACGAGTATATTGTTACGCTTTATGTAACACTTATTACTATCAAATGTAACAATGCAACCTTTATTCGTAACAGATTGAACAGAAAGTAAATTACTATCTAAACTTGGTACATACAATACATTTTCCAATTTTATTTGTGTAACCTGACCCTTTAAGTTTTGAACTTTAAAATAACCTTCACCAATACCATAAAAATTTAATTTAGCACCATTGGCTACAGTTACTATTTGTTTATTAGAGTCATTTAACAGAGAAAAAATGCTTATCACTCGTCATATGAGTGGAGGCTCCTGAGTCGATAACCCATTCTTGCGTTTGCGTGTTTTCATGTTTATTTTCCACTTTTAGAACTTGATTAAACTGAATCTGCGAATTTTCAGTTTCAATACTTTTAAAATACTTATTTTCTTTAAGTTTTGTTATTTTTTCTACACTTTGTGTATTTGCTATTTGGCATGCATTACTTTTATAATTTTGAGAATAATTTCTTACTTTACTATTATTTACATTGTTTTCGGGGAAGTCCTAGCGTTGCGTTTTAAATGAAAACAGTCATTTATCGTATGGTTATTTCTCTTTACAATAAGTACAAATCGTGTAACATAATGCTTTGATTTATTTTCGCTCTTTTACCTTTTTAAAGCAACTGAATCGTACTTTTTGAACTTTCTTAGTTTCCACACGTATATAGTAATACTCATCTATTAGTTTGTTTTTAACATATTCTAGCGACAATTCAGCTTCCGATTTACTTTCTATTGCAGTTATTAATGGAGTTGTATGAATTTGGTAAAGAACATAGTAATATTGCTTATTAAGTTATTTTCTTTAATTTCTTCACCTATACTACGCAGCTTTTCAGCCAATTCTAGTACTCCTTTGATATGTTCCTGCATTTTAGAACTTTCATTATATCTAATGGAATATAGTTTTCTAAGAAGAAATAACTTATTTGTTAAATTTACACGTTCATGGACACATTTTAACTTTTTGCCAAACTTCTTTTGCAGATTTACTATGTTAAACATGGATAATTTGCGAATCCGAAATGTTTAGACGTATTAAAGCTTTAGCTTTACGATCATTCTTTAACCAAATACCAGTATCATTTTCCGGTTTTTCTTCGAATACAACATCATCTAAACCTTCTTTTATTAGGATTTATTCTATTTTAAATTTCCACACTGAATAATTTTCATCTGTTAACTTTTCTATACAAATTGATTCTTTTAGAATAGACATTATTATTTGTTACAATTATTCTTTTAAACTTTGTAACTAGTTTTTTTTTCAACAAAGAGTTTTTAACACTTTATGCCCCTGGAATCTTACAACATTACAAAATTTCAATTTCTCAGGTCTCATAATCATTTGTTGGTTGTGCATTAGCACTGAAGGCGTAATGAGTACGTTTCCTCAAGCACAGAATTAAAGAATCATAACTCAAAAGATTAACTACGAAATTTTTTATTTAATAAAATAGGATAATTTTGCTTAATTTGAGCATAACAAAAGTAATAATGTTCAAGGACGTTAAAATTGAAGCATTCAAAAGAATAACTTACATAGAATCATCATCAGTACTAAATATCATCAGGCTTACCTATATTATGCAATAAGAAAAATAAACAGGAATATACTTTGCCATCGTACCAGAAAGAGAAGAAAGTACTACTGGATTAGACCTTTGGCCAGGTACAAGTAGCTAGGGTGAAAATCAAATATACTGCATTGCACCCGAGCTTTACTTTCTCTCGCCAATATATACCTTGGCGCACGTTCGTTTCGTATGCCTTTCGAGTTTCATTATGCAAAATACCTAAATTTATGCTAACAGTTAAATTTATATATATATATACACCAAGAGCTGCCGCTCCAAAAGGTTAAAGACGTTTTCAAAAATCAATACACATGAAAAGCAAATCATTAGACATGTAAAACATAAGTACAATAAAATTAAATAACAGAAAAAGTTAAAAAGTAAGCGGAAAATGGTAAATTAGCCCAATTCGATATCCAAACAGGCTTTTCAAGGGAAATTTCATTGTTTGAACGTCGAATCAAGCTAACCCCATTACGCGTTTCGCCGAAACAGACAATTGAAACTTTTACGCTAAAAAATTTTTTGACAAAGTGTCTTGGAAATTTTAATAGTCTCGATTCTCTGTTCCAATTTCCCGACGCGTCCGCTTAGAAAGACACATTAAGGTGTTAAAATATGTAAATCAAAATCAAACTTTCTAAATCTAGTCTAAAATTAAAATCAAAACGAAATATAAAGATATATATTTAAATTTCTGCCCTCTATGTCAAGCTTCTATTTGCAGTAACATATAGGTAGTTGACTCCGGTGAAATGTGTGAGGGTTATTTACCTCAAAGGGACTGCAATCATGGAGTGAAGTATTTAATTTAAACACAAGGGAATATAAGATACGTATTTATACATAAACCGCAGATAACATAAATCAGCAATATGTAGTATTATATATAGATTTATCCCTTTTTATTTATCAATTGTATATAGATTTATTCCTTTAGACTCTGTATATTACAAAGAAAAATTAACGTCAGATTTTATTAATGGTAATTATAAAGTCCTTTATATGCTCTTAAATCATCTTTTCCTTTTAGGACTTCTCTTTTATAAGACGTGCTTCTCATGTAAATACATGTACAAGCCAAATCATATTAGAAAACTCTTGTGTGTTGAAAATACATTTTTCTTAAGCAAGTATTTGTTCTTCCTTGTCCCTTACAATTAGTTAAAGTTTAACCAAACACTGCATTTTACGCGCTTAATACGTTCTTCAAAATGTAAGCACTTTTTAAAGTTTTCAGGACTATAAAATTTAGGAAACGTCTAACAACTTTAGCGCATTTTAAGTTGCAAGAAATAAAAAAATCAACTATATATCATAAAAAGCTGGTTTATACTTTTGACAAGATATTTACACTTCAAAATAGGTTTCTTGAACTCTAGGCAAAGTAAAATATATTTTATTTTAAACTGAACTGAAATACTGTAGTCTGAAAAGTAAGAATTTTAGAAACTTACGGACACATGAATTTTCTTGCTTTTTATATCCATAACAACATGCTTTGACAATTTCAGTGACTTCTTTTACCTCCTTCCTGTGAGCCACTCCATAAATTGTTCTATATCAAGAAATATGTAGATATTATTAAACTCTTTCAGACAAATTAAATTTATTATTCATAATAGAAAAGGAAAAAAAAAATTATTTTACTTTGCCAGAAAAATCAAGAATTTAGTAACACAAGGTACAGGTAATTTCACCGTAATATAAATTAGAATACTTAAATTATCAGTGGACCTCTCTTCGGATTCGAATATTCAACTTCAAATGATTTAGGGAAAATAGTAATCGAATAAAAATTTGCGTATCAAAATGCATTTACTGCATTTCATGAAGAGTGGAACGAATATTGAAACGAAAAGATGCCATCAACAAAATTCTCAAAGTATTGAGAAATTTCTTCCTAATAGAAATTTTATTAGAAAGAGAATCTTTGATGCCGAAAAAATAGGTCCGTCACATTTTTTTTTTTTTTTTTATTTTATTTTATTTTATTGTAAACTGAAGCTTTCAGGAACAACTGCAAGCTATACCACCAAATAATCTTGCCTTAACATTGTAGAGACATTCGATTAATTGGAAAAGCCGGAGAAATGAAAAATGAGCAAACGCCATCGCCGGGAATCAAACCGCGGACCTCTGGAATAAGCGCCCAGCGTGCAGACCTCCACACTATTAAGGCATGCCAAGATGGCGGGAGAAATACCTTATATGCTCTCCCTTTTAAATGGCGACTGGGGTTTTTAGGGGACCCATTCGCCAAATCCTGGGTGAGGAGAGTCATCATCCACCATCCTTTTAGTTCGGGCGCCACTTGTAGAGTCATTAGGTTTTTCTTGGAAGCAGGAGAATTTTTTGGAAGCTTATCTTAGGGATAATATTTTTTCAAAGAAAACAAGAAATAATTGCAGATGGTAGATCTGGCTTTTATGTTCTCGTTTGTACAAAATAGAAACAATATATCCTTCATTTTAAAATGGAGTAAACTAAAATTTCAAAATCCTCGGATAAAGAATATGCAAAATAGGAAATAATCTGTTTTGCTAGCCTCGCATTCTTTTCGAGATAAAAATGTTTCTAATTAATTACCTAAAATGTATAATATCCATTATATTAAAAAATTGTTTAGTTATTTTGCAAGACCATTTTGGTTTTCGCTCCTAATCAGATTTTCATAAATGTATCAGTATATTGTGCGTTATTGCACTTATAGAGATATTAGGTATTTTTGGAAGCAGGCAAGAGAGATTGAAAAATGAGCAACGCCTTCGCCGGGAATCGAACCGCGGACCTCTGGAATACGCGCCCAGCGTGCAGACCACCACTCCACGAAGGCATGTCAAGAAGGTGGGAGAGATACCTTATAACATAATCTTCCCAGGCAAAAGTTCTTCTCGTGTTACCTTTGCATAACCATTTCTAGAGTTAATTTTAACAGAAAATGTTATTTAACTCTGTTTTGATAGGTAATTTATTAAGGTAAAGTATATAAAGCTGGAGACAGCTGATTTCCCAAAGGTCCTATAATACTCTTTTGTTTCCGTGAAAGCGACAAAGCTCACAAGGGCTGTATACGTAAAGGAAGAAAAATTTTTCACGGAAAGCTTTCCATTGGAAACTAGCTTGTGTTCACATTACACGTGGGCGTCTAATGTAATGTTGTTCGTATTGTTTAAAATCACGAGAAGAATTACGAAAACTGATACGAGATGAAATTAATCGCAGGATGAAAGCACAATAGACTTATTCTTAGCAAGTGAATCAATGATGTAAAGAGATTAAAAGCGGCACTACTGTTGAGAGCTCATTCCATCAAATGGGAAAGTCATGCTCACTCATATCTGGGATGCAAATAAGGTAATTCTGGAAAGTTACTTGGAAAAGAGAGTAACAGTAACCAGTACTTCTGATGCAGATTTACTCTTAAATTACCTTTCTTTGCAATCAAGAGCAAATGTCTAACTTCTCCAGCAAATTTCATGCGTTCTGATGGCTTAAAGAATCGATGGAAGGGAAATAGTTCTGAAGCGGTAAAAACCTGGAAACCATGTTACACGAATGGTTAGTGTGGCAATCAAAAGAATTCTTCTTCACATGGTATCCATGCACCTCCGAAGTGCTGGAATACTTAAAATATATGTCATGGAAAGTATGTCGAAAAATGATACATAATCTTACTTTTTGTGAATTCCCTCATTTGGCTTATAATGTCGCCCTCTGTCTAAAACTGTACTGGTAGACTAATATTTAGTGATAATCTCAAAACAAGTCAATGTAATAATAAGCCTCTGTACATGCCCAACCAGATCGCCTTTATTGCAGTAAAGGAACGAGGATATCCCACAGAACTGTGGGTCGACGCTTGAATTACATAGGTTTCCTATGTTCGAACATCGATCGACTGTGCGGAATTATTCCTAGAGCATTGTAGAAGGCATTTGCATGCAATGGTGTTAGATCCACCGAAAGTGAATAATACGCTAATGGCTTAATATCTTGTTATGACAATCGATTCAACCTGTAGTAGTATTCCAAATGTTAGTTCAACTACGTTTAAAGGCGCGTTAAAGCGTAACAATTTTGGTGGTGCTCATGTGAAAGCGTGGGGTAGCGTCATGGTTAACCCATTGCGGCACAATGTGTCCGGTCTGGACACACCTAAACATTTCCTTCTGTACACACAGAAAAATTGAATGAAAGAGGATTTATAGGTCACTATAGGCTACTCTGAACCTTCTTTATTTATAGTACATGGCAGCTCAACACAAACCAGTCCGTATATTTTAGCCATGTTTAGTTTTTTAAGACCCTCATTTTTCAAAGAAATCTTCCAGATTTCTTTTAGGGTATAAAAGGAATTGTTTGAAAAGAAATTTCTATGTATTTTTCGGCAGTATGCTAATTTCCTTATTCTATATTAGTTTTAAATTTTTACCTTGAAATCTTGCCTAAAATCAAACGGCGAACCATAGGTGTGCCCAGACCGGGCTCACCGATAATCTAGGACAACTGAGAGTCTTTATTCTTTGTTTCTACGCTTCTCATCGGTCAGTTCATTGATAACAATGCTCGTTTTAGCATTCTTTTCGAAGCTCTACTCAATCAGTGTGCCCACTTTGGGCACACCCACAGAATTGAAACGATAAGTGCTATCTTCACAAAATTTTACTTGTGTACACCTCTAGGCCTAATTAGACCGCCTACCTTTTTTTTTTTTTTTTTTTTTTTTTTTCATCAAAACTCCGACTTTAAAAGGTAGCGTGCCGGAAAGTATTAATGGACATACTGACTTACAGATGTTAAACAATTGGACCATGATGGCAAATCATTATTGTAAACAAGATATGAAACGCCATAACTGGTTGTTTCATGATGTCACAGCTGAATCATTTCTTTTATGGATGACAATGCGAAGTTTCATTGAACAAAAGCTGTGGAGAAGCTCCTGGAAAATGAAGTTATATACCGAATCGATTGGTCTGCCTGCTTCCCATTCAGTAAGTATGTGAAGATGAACTACAACTTGCAAAATTTTGCTTAAAATTAAACAATGTTTTTATCCATAATCTAAAGAATGAATGGCAACTTTACTCTAGAAATTCCTACACCATTTGTTAATAAGTTTGTCAGCACGTTGTGATTGCTGGATCGGAGTTCGAAGTGATCATATTCCCTGCTGCGAAATCATATGCATAGTTATTGGAGAATATTTTTATCCATCCTTTATTTATGTCCGCCTGCTATACTGCAGTAAATTTCCCTGCAGAGAACTTGCTGTTTTTGCTTTTAAATTATGTATCGAATAGGTTGTTGATTATTATCATTTGCTAGGTATCGAGAACTAGTTTGCCATCTTCATTCATGTAGAGGCTTCTATAGATATTCAAAAAATATCGATCATCCTTAAGTTTTGGACATGCTCGCAGTTAATATTATAAGATATTTCTCCCGCCTTCCTAGCGTGAATTCGTGGTGTAGTGGTTCTGCACTTTGGGCTGGTATTCCAGAGGTCCGTGGTTCGATTCCCCGCGAAGGCGGTTTGCTATTTTTCATCTTTGCTGCTTCCAAAAATACCTAATGTCTCTACAATATATCGCAAGGAATACAAGACCTATTAAGGAATTCTTACGCCTATAGCAGAAAATCATATCAGTAGCTGCGCGGTTTGAATTTGAACAAACATATCTCACATGGAAACACCGAAACCCTCAAAGAAATGCATCTAATAATATTGAATCCTAATGCACGTGGCATTCGAATACAGTCTTTGTGATCGCAGCACGTTTTTAAGACACTGTTTATTTATTTATTTATTTTTTCTACTTTTCATTCAGAAGGTGGCAATTTACATGGTTTCGGTTCTATAATTTTAGATATATGCTATAGAAAGGGAAGTAAATAGAAAGTAAGATTTCACCAAAAGGCGTTCGTTGCAGAACGGGTATTATTGGCCTATAAAGCAATCAGCAGCCAAAAATTGTTCAGTCTTGAAAGTGGTTATTTGAGCTGTTACTCTAGTCGGTCCTTCAAGGTATGGAAAATGTTAATGCTACGTGCATGTTAACTGTGAGAAAATATCACGCTTAATTTTTGCAACAGATCATAATAAAAGCTTAAAGAATTAAGACGTTACTACGATGTGCTCCAGGTAGTTACAGAAATTTTCCAGTTGTTCGAGCCAGTTGTTCTGTATTGGATTCCTGGCAGTGGTGCTGTTTTATTTAAAACTATTTCCCTCTTCCAGATTCCTGTCTTTCTTCACCAGCATTCAACGATATTTTGGAATCGCATGCGAGGTAATTAACTGTGTTTGTCGGAGCGAATGGATTTTTTTTTTTTTTGAGCAGTTTTTGACGAGTAGATAGTTACAGTATTCTATGAAACATGCTACATAATTATTTTTTGTTTCATTTGCTTTTGACTGTGCAGTACGATAATTTAGCTCTTTGTTGACCTAATGTGAATTATATTATCATATTGATTTAATCTAAAATTAAAGCAATATGATAATAATATAATCTGGAATTAATTAAATATAATCCGGAATTAACACAATAAACTTCATGCGTGTTTTGTAACAATGCTACCATTTATATAATCAAAAAACTGTAAAAACTTACTTATATACGGAGCATCTGGGAGGAATGCTGAAGCACCAAGTTGTAGTCCGTATCTGATAAGGTCGGGAATATGAAATCAGAATGGATTTGTTGTACCTGGAAAAATCTCAAACAGTAAAGACTGGAATGTAAATAATAGTGCAATTTAGATATTTAGCAAAATGAAAGCAGAAACAATAAAAGCAAAAATCCTATAACCTGCAACTTAAAAACTGTAACTTCTAAGGTGAGGAACCTAAATCAACAATGAAAAGTGGATTGTAACTATTATTTAAAGTTTGGATATATAACCAATTCCTGTGCATATTGAAGACTTACTGATCAATCCACTAATGACAAAACGGGGAGAACGGAAAAGAACTCTTGGGCAATTTCTGGAAAACAGCTAATCTGGATCTCTTGCTCGATTTCTGGATTTTAGATAGAATCACTGAATCAGATAATAATATCTGAACAGATAATGGGGATAAAACAGGATGTTAGCTGCTTACTTTCTTTTGTTTATTATGTTATGTAATAAATGCGAAAATGTACTTTTGTAGCAAAAATTATTATTCATTTATAAAACATTCTGAAAATCTTAAAGTACGAATTGATAAGTTTTTTTATGCGAATAACTGAATTTCTATTTCTTACCTTACATGTACGGTCCTTCTTATTTGTATTTTATTAGTAACCTTTTTTAATAAAAGCTGTTCTTAAAGTACAAATTAATTTTTTTAAAAATCTGATTGAAATGGTGGATTAAACATCTAATAAATTTTCAAACTACCATTTGTTTATTCTCAGGCAGTAAAAGAGAAAAGAAAATAAAGCTTAACATTTCGTATTTTAATTATATTGGGAGTTAATTTCATATTTGGAAGAACAGGAAAATTGAAAAGGAGTATCATATAACAATCTCCATAATTTGATGACGTTTAATTAATCAGAATTTGATTGTCTTTGAACTTATGTAACAATAATAAAGCTGAAAATCCTTGCGAGAATCTTAACACATGGAAGGAAGTGGTGTCACTTAATACATGTACTTTTTGAGAATTATCAAAGTGTACATTGATTCCGTAAAATAAAATTTGACAGCTAAGGAGTAAAATAACGTGTCCATTTTCGGAAGAAAATATAATAATATTTTATTTATTTATTTATTTATTATGCTTCAAAACTTACTTTTCTTCCTTTGTGCACACATTTGGTCCGGTAAGCTCCACGGCAGCGCTGATGGCAATTAATGAGAAAATTCCCCCCAAAAATTCAGCTGTGAGCTTCATAATTTCCCCTAAAAAATACAATATAATTGGAAACTGCGATTATTAAAATTTCCTTAAAATATTAATCTAAATCTGCTGAAAATATTATTGAAATCCTTGACGAGAAATTTGTGTCTGGGAATTTCACTATTGCATATCTCTACAGATGATATTACAAAGTGAAGAAATGAAATTAAAAATACAAATATCGTATACGCTATGGACTGGAGGTTAGGTTAGGTTATTTGAATATACAAAACCATAAGAACTAACTGCCTAGGAGAAGGGATGTAGATGAAGGACTTTCTGACGGAAATTGGCTTTTTTCCACGCTACCCAAAATCTTGAAAAACAACTATGCAGCCTATGGGATCGAACCGAGAACCAAGTCGAAGTACCAGTGTTCAGCTGTCTTAGCCACTGGGCCTGAGTGTACTAAAGAGACTATGCTAGTCCCCTTACATTTACGTATTAACACTTTCAAGCATACTTTTACCTAACATTCAACAGCATTAAAAGAAATGTATTTTCACCTCTTTTGAAACCGAGTATCTTTCGCGTGCCGTTGAGTTTTTGCTCGAGTGGGAAGAAGGTCTATTGCCTTACATCTGTTCCCTTTTAGAGACATTAGGTTATTTTTTGGAAGCAGGAAAGACGAAAAATGAGCAACGCCTTCGCCGGGAATCAAACCACGGACCTCTGGAATACGCGCCCAGCATGCAGACCACTACACCACGAAGGCACGCTAGGAAGGAAGGAGAGATACATTATACCCTTAGTTGCCTATCAGGGCCATTCACCATTCACACTGGGGTTTATCTAAGCTAACGGAGTCAGTTCCCTGTGTCGACTAGCTGCGCTATATGTGCAGTTCATATTTTTCATCTCGCTGCGCTATGGGGAAAACTGGTTTTGGAGACGAGTCGGTTATAACAGTTGTCTCTGTTAGTTCAGATAAACCCCAGAGTGAATGACTTTTTAAATATGCTAATAACTATTGGCGGTAAGTGGTATACATGCAGTATGCAGTATGTGCAGTATTGTGCAGTATGCGTGAGCAACCTTAGAAGCCGTTTCATGACAAGGCGTTGTCAGTGTTATGTAATGCCGTAAATCAATGGCAGGAGCTATCTACATGTCTTTATGAATTTATGTTACTTTATGAATAATATTTTTGTTTACTTTTTGTAGATGGCATCAGAGTCACCGCGCACGCTATGCCTCGATCTTTTACTTGTAGTGTTATTAGAAAATTCTATTAATTTTATAACTTGTATCATGTATTTCTTCTGTTTTTGACAGTATCTCATTGGAACATTTATATTATTTCAAGTTGGTTATATCAAGTACTCAATAAAGTTGTTTTTCATCAAAAAGCGGGCGAATTATCTAGGTAGATGAAATATATTTCTTCGTTTTTAAATATTGAAGATATATTGCAAAGAGATACTCTGACAGTAGACTCTCTGTGTGTAAGTTTTTTTAGGCTTATATGTATTAAAGGCCTGTTCAGAACAAACTTTGACGGGTAATCTCGGCGTAGTTCTGATTTCGTTTTCGTTTTCTTGTGTTTTGTTACATTTTCTCTCAGTCAGTATCACAACCCTCTAATCTTGATAACTTCTCAATAACTTGTCTTTGGGATAATATTTTTCCAAAGAAAACAAGAAATAATTGCAGAAGGTAGATCTGGTCCTTATGTTCTCGTTTGTACAAAATAGAAACAATATATCCTTCATTTTAAAATGGAGTAAAATAAAATTTCAAAGTCCTCAGATAAAGAATATGCAAAATAAGAAATAATCTGTTTTGCTAGCCTCGTATTCTTTTCGAGATAAAAATGTTTCTAATTAATTACCTAAAATGTATAATATCCATTATATTAAAACGTTGTTTAGTTATTTTGAAAGACCATTCTGATTTTCGCTCCTAATCAGATTTTCATAAATGTATCAGTATATTGTGCGTTATTGCACTTGTAGAGATATTAGGTATTTTTGGAAGCAGGCAAGAGAGATTGAAAAATTAGCAACGCCTTCGCCGGGAATCGAACCGCGGACCTCTGGAATACGCACCCAATGTGCAGACCACCACACCACGAAGGCATGCGAAGAAGGCGGGAGAAATACCTTATATATTCTCTCTTTTAAAGGGCGACTGGGGTTTTTAGGGGACCCAGTCGCCAAATCCTGTGTGAGGAGAATCATCATCCACCAACCTTTTAGTTCGGGCGCTACTGTAGAGACATTTTTGGAAGCAGGAGACTTCAAAAATGAGCAACGCCTTCATTGGAAATCAAACCACGGACCTCTGGAATAAGCTCCCAGCGTGCAGACCACCACACCATGAAGGCATGCCAAGAAAGCGGGAGAAATACCTTATATACTGATTAATGTCCGCATTCAAAATACGGCAAACCGCGCTGTGACGGTCACCTCCCTAAAATGACCATTTCTAGAAGTGACTAATATATCATAGGGAAAAAATGAACATATTCAGTTTCCTAAGACGATAACTCCGCTGGAAGTGGAAGTCGTCTTAGAGATGATTGTAAATTTTCTTCACACCTACTCCCTTTCCTTGAAAACTTCGGCACCCACTATGTATATAAACGCTAGCATAGTGCGTGCATTCATGTAATGTGATTATCAAAAAGAAAATGCTTTATAAAAACTAGCGCATTCTCCTCATCAGCATTCTAGTTCAGTAAAAATTATCACATGGAGTTACTGTACAAGTGCAGGAAAATAATGTGAAAAGCTTTGTCGTGTTGTGGATTAGGCAATGTGGATGGCTATTATCAGTTAAGAGAAATATGTTACAGGACATCATTTAAGAAATGTTTAATGTAACAGTCTTAAATGAGACAGATGGATGGAAGATGATTTTGCTGCAGGAAAGAAACTTCCCGATCGTGACAGCAAAAAAGGCAATGATACTGGTGTGATAAGGTGGCATAAAGGTTCTTTGTCCTTTGTCTAATGAGTGATTTCAGAGTGCAATAATTTTCATCAGTGGTGAAATCCTGTGCCTTTGTTAATTATTCCGGTTGCAGCCTCAAGGGTCACTCCAGTGGACAAAGAAGTAAAAGAAGGGTCAGGAGGGTCATCAGGGTCAGGAGATGGACATTTTGTTATGTATGAATGAAAGAATCATTCCTTTTCTGGGAGTTCATCACGAGTAAACACAGGAGGAGATATATAAGGTGGTTTTCTGAGAAGAGAGAGCAAATTTCTTGTTTAGAACTATGGGCATGTTGGCCTGCTAAGAACGATCATTCCTCGTACATAATGCGATAGAGCATTTTTCCTGTAACAAAATTCTGAAATTACGGGACTAAATATATCTGTACAGTATTTTCTTCTTGATAATATTGTCAAGACATGCAACTATTAAAGTTTTCGTCTTATTAAAATTCATGTTGTTGTTAGAAGTTCATCTCAACTCGGTGTCACAACCCAGGGTTTGCGTAGGAGTATCGGCCACTACACCACAGCAGTAATATTAAAATTGGTGGCAGCGGTTAGGATTGTTCCTGAGAGTAAATTTAGGAACGGACTTTTCTCCTGTGGACTTCAGTTAACATTGTGCGTTGTTTTCCGTACATCTCGTCGTGTGAGTGTTTCGGATCGTCGGAATGGAAGTTCCAGAAAAGGCAGTATTGTAAAGGATTTTATCTGAGCAGTCAAGACTTCTTCTTTGCACAAGAACGATCTAATTTTGCGTGCAAGGACAGTTCGCGTGGTGAATCCTCTTCAGAAAGTGACAGTGTGTCTGTCAGAAGGAAACGCCGGAGTGTGATCTAGTGCTGCAAAATAGTGAAATTTCCCGGAAGAGTATCCACGTTATTGCCAGGAGAGTCATCGAAGGCGTCTTCAAATTGGTGAGTACCATTTTTGTGATGTTGGAGAAATTATGCCAGTTATTCGAAACTAGGTTGATTTTGTATATAGCTCTGTTATTGGGAATCAAAAGTTTCTTGTGGTTATTGAAAGTTAGTCTTGTGGTTTAATCGCTGCGATTTCTTGAAACTAACTCTGTAATCCTTTCAGTAGTTTTGGACAAAGATAACCTACTGTCAACAGGTCCTAAATATTTCTAATAATTCAGTATATGACGGCTAAAATTGTCTCTAAACATTGAACGAAACCTCGATGTAGCTACTCCTATACTTTTACTTTTTTGCATATAATTCATTCTTTACAGGTTTATTTGCACGTATATCAGAATGACCTATTTTCAGCAAATAGAATTTCAGAGTTACCTACTTAACCTCCTTTTTTAGGGGTTCTACAGATGTTTTAAATAAATGAGCATGCAATGTTTACCCTGACAGCCATAACACAGCACAAGAGAGGCTACTTATTTATGACCCACCCCTACATATGAATTATTGCATGATATATGTCGTGCGACTGAGTATTAAATGTCAAGGATAATTTGCGAAAGAGAACGAATATTCTGCAGCGAAAACGTACCTCAGTATGTCACCCCCAGTCACTTCTCTGTCAGTTACAACTAAGAATTATTCTAAGATTGATTAAATCCTCCAGTAGTTTCGGTAACCCAAATTTGGATCATTCTTTCCAAGGCTATAGAACAAGTGATATAGACGAATCTATCCTATGCACGAGAGTTTATGAGATGTTGAACAGAGTTACTAGTAATTGTTATCATTGAAAATATCTGTATAACATTTCTGCCTGCATATTGCAGAGTTTTAGTTTGTAACTGACCTTTAATTAGTATTACAGCCGAAGTGAAATTAAAATTGAGCTTTTAATTTGCTAACTCTTTATGTTAAAATTTTAATTAAATTATTCGAGTAATGGCGATAACTCCCACTAGACAGCATTTTATCAGTTATTATTAACGGCATGAACGAGGTTTGACCTAGGCTGCCGTTGATAATAATTAACTTCTTGACATGTATTTCCCAAGAAGAAATTTGAAAAAAGAAACGACAACAACAAAAATGATAAACTGACTTGGAAATGCAATATCTGCTTGCCTTTTCCGATGCTTAGGC